AAGTTGGTGAAATTGGTCCGCATAAGTCCGCATGTATCAGCCTGCAGCTTTCTTGGTTGCTCTCCAAGCACTTGTCTTGGACATGGTGTTTCGTGTTGTTTTCCTGCCATGCATTGTGCGCATATACCTTTTGAAGCTGTAATCTGAGGCAAACCTGTTACCATTTGTTTAGAGGCGAGGGTGTTTAGACCATCATAGCTTAGATGTCCGAGCCTGTTGTGCCACAGTTGAGCATTGTTTTCTGCATTCACCTGGAGACACGCATCTGCTTCCATGGTTGCTGTTAGCACAAACATCCTGCTAGCATTCATTTGAACCTCACATATTACTCCTTTCTGCGGATGCATAATAGTGCAAGCATTATTCTGAATTCTGATACTCAGTCCCTTTTGTTGCAGCTGTCCAATGCTCAATAAGTTATTTTTGAGTTCAGGGACATAGTATACATGTGTGATAACATGTATTAAGCCATTCACCTTCATTCGAATGCTTCCTTTCCCCATTACAGCTATGTGTGTGTCGTTTCCCAGCTTCACTTTGCCTCGAAAATTCTCATCTAATTCGGTAAACCATCCTTTGTTACCACTCATGTGGTTGCTACATCCAGAATCTAAGAACCACTCCTTTTTCTCCCCTTCATTAGTTTCTGTGAGAGCCATCAGTAAAGTCTCCTCCTCTGGTTCCTCTTTATTTTCAATTTCTGCATAATTGACTCTCTTTTCCCACATAGGACATTCCCATTGAAAGTGTCCAAGTTTATGGCACTTGAAGCATTCGATCTCATTCTTGGAAATCGTTTGTCTTCCCCTTCCTCTGCCACGAAAAGCTCCCTGCGTTCTCCCTCTCCCGCGTCCTCTTCCATCTACAATTGTTTGCATAACCTGTTCTTCTTCAATTGAGTGTGTCATTCTCTGCTCATGCACCAACAGACTGCTTTGCAACTCATCTATAGTCATGGTCTCCATGTTGTTGGATTCTTCAATTGAACACACTACATAATTGAATTTAGCCGTCATAGACCGTAGTATTTTTGCAGTTATGACGCTTTCCTGCATCTGTTCTCCCACTGCTTTCATTCCTTTGGCTATTATTAAGGTGCGACCAAAGTATGAAGTCACTGATTCTCCTTCCTTCATTTGTAGTGTCTCAAAGTCTTTGCGGAAAGTTTGCAATTGAGCACGTTTCACTCGTGTGGATCCCTGAAACTTTTGCTTCATGGAATCCCATATATTTTTGGAGGTCTCATCATTTAGAATTGTATCTAAAATCTCTCTGTCAATAGATTGATAGAGATAATTTTTCACCTTCAAATCCTTAAGTTGTTGCTCTTCCAGTCGTTTAAATTCTGCTTCACTAGCTTTGTCTGAAATTGCATCAACACCCTTTTCAACCAAACTCCAATACTCCTTGGAGCGTAGGAAATTCTCCATTAGCTTTGCCCAATGATCATAATGGCCATCAAACTTTGGAATGGCAGGTTGGACGTATTTACTGGATTCAGCCATCTCAAATAATGCGTCTAGAAGAACTCAATATATCACTCTTATCTAACCCAACTCAGAAAAGCAGATCACTCTTAGTGTTTTTCTCTTTCCCACACTTACGAAAAAGTCTCTCTCTTTTTCTTGGTTCAGGCCCCTGTGAAGGAGCTCTGATACCAATTGTAAACTCTCAGGTATGCACACTCACGCTTTTGTTAATCTGAATCCCCTGATTTGAATTATCAGGGCTGTTTCTTTATTAAATAGATTTGTAAAATAAATGTTTCCATGATCTGTCGTGATCTATGGGCAGTTTGCAGCAAACAAAGTGGCTAATATTTAGCCTCCATAACCCTGGGTTTTCGGTCAACATAGGACCGATTATTATGCCATAAAAAAACAGAACAAATAAACTGCAAAACTTAAACATAAATACTAACAATCCGAATCCAGTTTCTTCGTAGTAAAGTACGTTGGAGAGGAGCGTCTCGTCAATGTCGAACACCCAGGCATCTCTTCCATCTCCGACCAATCTCACGCTCCTCGTGAATGCCAACGACAAATTCCCGACCACGTCGCAGTCCCTTCGGCACCGGCCTCCGGTCATGTACTCTGCCACAAAATTCACACAATTTGCCGAAACGCACTCCCACTCCCCCTGCGTTTTTCGTCTCCACGGCCAGCCTCCAGCTGTCGCAGTAATCGCTCAAGATCGCCTTCTCCGGCGGCAACCTCAGGATCGGCTCCGAACAAATGTGGTTGACCGTTAAGAGCGCCACCAGCAGGGGCAGCAGGCATGCGCCGAAATCCATCGTCGGAAACACGATAAACTTTCGAAAGGACTCAGTATCTGGTGACTACTATTTTTTTTTGTTCGGACTTGTGATCAATGACCAGGAGCATATTGGGGATTTTACCCCCAACTTGGAAACTAAGTTAAAAAATGGGGAATTTAGCCCTAAATTTGAATTTAGAATTTACGAAAGTGGGAGATTATTCTCCCTCTACCTAGGTTCTTAATTAAACATAATCTGAATTTTGTTAGATATATTTTCTAAACACAAACATGAATTAAGTATGGGTTGTTCTGATACCAATTGTGATACCAATTGTTAGGTTAACTGTAATTCATAATTATAATCATGATTTTGATTTTAACTATCAAACATAAACATAATCTCGTATTCATAAACATGTTGTAAACTGAATGTAAAAGCGTACCTGAATTAGCCATAATGATGATATCCTTGTAGAGCACTATTGATCTTATGATCTTTCACCTGAAAAACACTTATATTTCCCTCTGGATTTTCTCTCTTGACGGGATAAAAAGAAAAGAACGAGACTGAAATTTACATTATGTGTGTTCTCTCATAAAGGGACAATGACCCTTTAAATAACCAAAATTAGGTTAATTACTTAAGTTTTAATATTTTCAATTTGGTCTTTCATCAAATTAAAAATTGTTTTATCGATCTCTACATAATTTTATTTTCATAACATATGTCTTTAGTCAAATTTTATAATTTAATTAGATCACTTTATTATTTGACTTAATAAATAATAATCCTAACATATTTACTCAGCAGTCTATGTACTCATGATTTCTAATGAAATTATTAATAAAGGTTAGAATTTTTTTTTTTTACTGTTTGAAGTTGGTTTGACGTGACCATAGATATAAGAATTGATGAGTTCTAGATGCTTAGAAACTCTCCATAAACTTTTCCTTTAGAATAGTCTCTCTACGTTACTTCCTTCCCCATTGTGCAATATTTACGGGGCTAATGATTCTTTAAGGTAAGGTTCTCTTAATTATTTCGTTTTAAAAGAAAGTTCTCAAACCTTTAGCACCATATTATCATACCTACATTATCATATTTATATATATCATATTTTCTTTGAGATAATTGATTAAGTTGCGAATAAATTCATTTCTTTCTGTATAATATGGAAAATATAAATGGTCTACATGTATTCTTTTTTACATTGAAATTTGTAAAATCCATTTTTACGCTCCCACAATTTTGTATAGTTGGAAACAACCATACACTTAAAATTTGCAGTTGGCTCCTTTTCATTTCTCTTATCCTTGAAATTCAGAGTTTCAAATGACTTTTTGCTGAACTTTTGTCAAAAATTGCATCCACAATAATATTATCAACCATTGTTTGAAAAAACAATTCTTTATCTTTAGATCTTTAATTTGCTTTTTTTTTTTTTATTAATCTTCAACTTTGTTTTTGGAAACTATTGACTGTTACAACTATTTCACCCCTCCACCACATTCTAATAAAAAATCTCAACATCTTCTCCATCAATATTAATCAATGATCATAGTGATCATTATATTTCAGAATTGTAGCTTATACAAAATTTTCTTCAGACACTTCTCAAAATTCTCCCTTGCTCTTTGTAAAAAAGTTTACATTTTTTTTTTTATATTAGACAGTGTGAGGAGCTTTGATACTAGATGAAAAAAAAATAAAGAATTGTGTATTTTTATCATAATTTTTACATTACATATATCCTTTTAAAGTTAAACTTCTCCTATAAACAAGCATACCAAACTAAAATAACCTACATTTCCTAATAAAAAACTACTATTCTAAACTTATTCAAGTTAGTATCCTCTAAATTATAAAGATCATGAATATAAACTACTACATAATACCTCTATAATAAAAAATAGTGGATACTAATATCATGTATCAAGTAACATTTTAAATTGTTGACTTTACTTTAATAATGATCTCATATATTTGTTATAAATTATAAATTTTCAATATTATTTAAATACTATCTTTACTTATTTTTATGTTTTTTTTTCTCTTTATTTACGTACTTCTTTTCACTTTTATTTCTAGTACTATTCCTTTCTTCTCTTGATTATTTATTTCTTCTTCTTCTTTTTTCTCTCCTCTGTCTTTCTTCCTTTTAAAATATACCTTTTTCAATTAATATTGATGTAAAAAATAACAATATTTGATATTTTAAAATATTAAACATTATTTTGTATTAAGTTTGTTAAGTATTAAATATTCACAAATAATTAATGCTCATTTTAGCATTTGAAATTTGAAATTTCCAATATTTAAAATTCAAAAACTTCATCCTATTTAAAAATTTAAAATTAAAGAAATTTGAATTATTTATCAAAAAATATATTAAAAACTAAAACAGTTTAAATTTGAAAAATTACATAAATTTTTATTTTTACAAACACAATCTAAAACTTATTTTAATTAATTAACCATGTAAAAATTATTATTCCAATTGTTTGCATAAAATGTTTGTTTGCGTAAAATTGACTAATTGAACGAGAAAAGTGGATTTTGCAGAATAAATTATAGTCCAGTTTTTGCAACTAAAATTCAAATTGAACAAGTAAGATTTTTATGAGCGTAAATTTTAACCTCAAATTTGTCTGTGGAGTGAGGACTGCAATCTGGATGGTGTAGTAAGCCTAAAACATCACAATCATTTAGCCACCAAATTTCCAACATGGTCATGATAAACTACTTAAATATATACGTGCTATTCTTTCATTACGATACAATTTCTTTCTCTGTTCATTAAGAAGCTAGTAATAGGTTGTTTGAGTCAAGCATGTAACACTCAAGTTTTGAGACCAAACACTAAGTCAAAAGGAAAGAACTACCCAAAAAATGATACATTCAAACATGCCATAGTTACAGTTTTTATAACTCAAATGGATTTTCAAACATAGACTTAGGTAACTTACCTATCCTTTGGCAACTTTCAAACCAAACACACACTTAGCCCCTGTTTGTTTGAACTGATTTGCGACGAAATACTGTTCACGAAGACAAAAACACGAGATTCACCCACGTTTGGTTGAACTGATTTGCGACGAAATGCAGGCGAGGAAAAGGGGGAGATGAGAGAGAGAGTTTCTTCGCTGAGGTGCGAAGAAAAGAGATGAAAGTAATGAAAAGTCGCTGTTACCCTGCAATATATGATAGCGGTTAAATCTTAACCGCTATTATAACAGCACTTGTAATAGCGGTTAAAACTTAACCGCTATTATATATCACTTCTAATAGCGGTTAAAACATAACCGCTATTATATATCACTTCTAATAGCGGTTAAATCTTAAACGCTATTATATATCACTTAAGATAGCGCTTACAGAGGAACCGCTATTATATCCTCCAATATTTCGCTCGAGCGAGACATAGTCGCTCAAGCGAAACACAACCCGAGACTGAAGAAATTAAAATATGGTTGTATATGATAGCGGTTCCACCTGAACCGCTATCTAATATACACTTTAGATAGCGATTACAGAGAAACCGCTATTATATCCTCCAATTATGATCGATCATTACCTAAATCTAATCGATCAGAATCATATTTCGCTCGAGACGAGATATAGTCGCTCAAGCGAAACACAACCCGAGACTGAAGAAATTAAAAATTTGGTTGTATATGATAGCGGTTCCACTTGAACCGCTATCTAATATACACTTTAGATAAGCGATTACTGAGGAACCGCTATTATATCCTCCAGCTTATGATCGATCATTTCAAATTATGATCGATCAAGATCGCTTTTCGCTCGAGCGAGATATAGTCGCTCGAGCGACATGCAACCCGAGACTGAATCTTAAAATATTTTTTGAATATTATGTTTTTAAATTTGCTATTAGAGAAAACCTTTCAGAATTCAAAATGTTAAATACTTTTAAATATTAAAATTAACTTTATCAAAAATTAGGAAAACAAAATTTATCCAAAAGAGTTCAAAAATGTATAAGAGTATTCTCAATTTTGAGTTTAATTATATTGTTCATTCTCAAAGTAGAAATTTATATTGTAGTTATTTAATTTACATTTTGTGATCTTCTTAAAATTAGCATCAATAACATTAGACTTTACATTTGATTCATACCTAACTAATACAAAGAAGTTTTAATCGATTGATTCAGCTTTAAAACTTTCTTATAACACTTTTCAAGTTATTTTAACTGATACAAAGAAGTTTTAATCGATTAAAACCCTGCATGTAATTTTTCTAAGTCATTTTAATCGATTGAAATGCGTTTTAATCGATTGAAATGCGTTTTGACTTTATCTTTGACTTCATCAAATCACTGAGATCTTTGCTAGTCGCTCGAAGCGAGATCAGTTTCGCTAAGCGAAAAACAACCCGATGATGAAAATTATGTGCAGGTGTCTTCGCTCGAGCGAGTTTACGGTCGCTCAGCGAAATATAACTTGTAATAGCGGTTTTAGGTGAACCGCTATCTAAAGTGTCGAGGTTTTGGAACCGTGATCGATCATTTTGGCAAAATAATCGATCATTTGAATTATTAGTCAAATAATTATTTAATTATTAGTCAAATAATTTATTTAATATGTCAACATTATTTGAATATGGATATGCAATGTACATAATTTTGTAATTGTTTATTTATATAATTTTTAATAACTATCTAAAAAAAGTTAATTTTTTAAATTTGTTTCCAATTACAAACACTTTTAAATTTGTTTTTTCTTTTAAATATATAATCAATGTTAAAATATGGATAATTAATTAAAAAATTATATTTATAATCATTTGAACCTTATTTGATACAAAGGGTAAAATGGTAATTTTCTTAAATAATAAACATAAAATTATAATTTTTATATCTCATATCAATCAAATCATTCACAATTTCCCATAAACTTTCTTTTCACTTTTCAATCATCTCCATTTCTCTTCAAATTCCTCCTTTTCCACTATCTCATTTCCACTCTCTTAAATCATTCCATCCAAACAAAGCCTTAGTATGATTTCATTCATGTCTTTTCTCACCATCTATTTTCCTTTTTGTCTTACTATCGTCTCCTTTAACCTGAAAAAAAGAAATATTATCTAAGACCATATCCGTATAACAGAAACAGAAAACGATATTTTTACTACTTACAAAGTAATAACTGTAATTTACTAATCTACAAAGGAATGTTCCTCCATATTAACATTTGTTCAAAGGAAATCCAAAACAGCAATGCTAAGATTCATCGTGTTTCGATTCTGTTAATTTTATAAATAAATATACATTTTTTTTTCAAAAAAAAAATCTAAAAATTGTCCGAAATAAAAATTATAAAAAAAACGAAAATAAAATCCAAGCACACGTTGTGATAATGGACACGTGGCTGTCTCATTTGTCTCTTTCCACGCACACGAACATAGCTGCTGCCGAATTCATAACCCCACAAACCACAACACGTGTCCCACAATCACGCTTCGACGCCGTTTGGAGACTCTTAGTGAGGCATTATAATCTTTATATCTTATCTATCACAAGCACTCGACCGGTCCGGTTCAGAGTTAGGGTTGGCGCTGAGACTCGCTCCGCCAGAACCCGGTTCCAGTGAACCGGGCCCACATCTCCTTCTCCAACCCCTCTTCTTCCTCGTCCATCTCGTCGGGGAATTGCTTAAGAAACTCCTCCAGGCGCGTGGAACCCACGGCGTCGACGCTGCTGGGCCTACGCGGGTGCCACACCACGATGTCGCTGTTCTCCTTGTTTTTGTTCTTCAGCAAACGACGTCGTCTCTTGCGCGCGGCTTTTAGGACCAGCCCCTTTGGGACCTTGTAGACTGCAAGCACGGCGAGGTGGACGACCACGCAGGGGAAGCAGCAGCACACCGCGGCACACTCGGCCGCGCCTCCCCCGGCCACCTCACCGACGCCACGCCTCCGGCGGTCATTCACCGGCTGCGGAGGGACGATGACTTGGTGGACCATTGGAAGCAAAAGCGATTCGAGAGAAAAAAAAAAAAACAGAGTGCTTAAAACTGCGATGATTGTTTTAAACGGTTTTTTTTTTTACGTTTGAATGTTTGGGAAATGTGAAAAGAGAGTGGGGGAGCTTGAAAAATGGGATGATCAGAGAAAGAATTTAGGGAAGTTGAAGCAACAAGAATAAATAGAAAAGGTTGGTTACGGATTTGTGTTTAACGGAACTCGTGTTCCCTCCCACTTCGCACGAAAGCGAATCACTTTGATTCACCACGTTTCTTCCAAATTATACTAAAACACTGAATTTTTTTTTTTTCATTTTTTGTTTGTTTTTAGGATTATATATTTATTAACAATAAACGGTTATTTAAGATTTGTTTTGTTTAATTTTTGACCATATAATGAATAGTAAGTTATGTAATTAATTAAGAAACATTAAATGTAAAGTTGAATAAGAAAACGTTTTTTCTTCTCAATAATTGACTTACATATAAGTTGTATTTGATTTCCTAAAAATCCAAGCTTCTCACGACTCTTCTAGAACTTCATATTTCGCCACTAGCTTAATTAATTATTTGTTACTACCATATTTGATTTTTATGTCAATTTTGGCTTGATAGTAACATAAAATCGTGTGTGTGAAACATGATATAAGGTTAGGTGGTGTTTTAAAAAAATTAGAATTAGTGTGTTATTTCCATGGAGTCATAGTTACTTGATCAATATATTTTATTTTATGCAGCAAAATTGGTGCGAGTTATATACTCTTACACAATCTATTACTATTTTCATCACTATTATCGTTGCTCACATTTCTCTAATAGCTACAATTTTTTATTTTTTTATAATTTAGTTTCCTAACACAGTTTATCTAATTGTCTTAAATCACATAAAGTAATAAATATTTAAGTTTTTTTGGTAGCTTCCATCCTTATCGGTTCCACGTCACTCGCTAGTAGCTATTGTTGATGATGATCGTAGGATGCTTATAGTTTTGGTTTGACATCAAACTATTTTATAATTAAGATATATTATAAATTATAAGAAATATAAATTTTAATTTTAATTCTCTTATATAATATATCAATTCAAAATACAAATCACTTTAATTCTCTTGTAGTTATAATTCAGCACTTTTATATATTTTTTTTTATTCTCTAGAAATAAAGAAAAACAACCAAAATAACTAGCTCTTTGTTTGAATAACTCTCGTCATCATCGATCATAAGGACAGTAAAATCAGAGGTCAAGGAATCAGTCTAAAAAAAAAACAAATTCTCTTTACCTATTAATATATGATATATACCGTTTATTTTAGAAATAGTTTTATATTTAGTTATGATTATTTTTTATATATTTAATTTTATGTATCTTACCATAATATCTTATGATTTATTATCATATTTAATATATTATTTATTTTAAAAGTTTAAGTTGTCACAAGTTTGTCTTTAATGCTAGGGAAAAAGTCTTAAGATAAAATATCAAGAAAGAAAAAGATAATATAACTTTTTTTATTTTAAAACATTATTGCTACAAATTATATGAGAATAATATATTTATAACAGAAAAATAAAAGGTAATTAATGACCGAATTATTAATCAACACTTTAAAAAAAGGTAAAAAAAAAGAATTTAAAGAAAAACAAGTTTCAGATATGAAACACTATTTGAATGATGTGAAATGATAAAGACCAATTAAAAAAAGCAATAATGATAGTAATGCATGTAAGTTAAAGTAGTGTAACCAGTAAATATAAATAAGTTCTAAAAATGTAAAATAAACCATGGAGTCATGGATGTGATCTTCACATAGGTCAAATATACTGATAAAGATAATATTATTACAAAAAATCATTATATTTACGATATTGTTTGAATTTTAAGGTGCCAATGTGTCAACCTCCCAAGATACTATCATATAATCATTCTTTAAAATTCAGACTCATATTAAAAAGTGTCTTAGTAAATTAACAAAGAAAAATATATGTAAATATATTTTTTAATCTAATCAAATAAAGTAAAAAATAGTTAAAAACACTAATGTAAATGAAAAGTTAACAACATAAATAAAATATATGAAAAATTAAAATGGTTAGATTAACTCATAAGAGCTTATGACTTCACTCGCATTCAATTCCGACCATGTCAAATACTTATAAGAAATAGACCTCAATTTTAGTAAAAGTTTATTTGCGTGAAAAGATCCAACATTTAAATCATTTGTAAAGTGTTTAGATCTCACAAATTAACCTGTTTAAATGAATATAAATAATAATAATAATAATAATAATATTTTTAAATTTTACAATATATCAAATTTATATATTTAACATTATTTTTAATTATTACACGTGTTGATCTACATAAAAAAAATATAAAATTATTGAAAGATAAATTTATCACAAAGTTTTAGAAAATAAATAAATTATATTTATGATTTCTAACATTTTATAATATTACTTGAGTAGTTTTTTTTTTCGAAAGCGTATAAGAAAGAAGGCAATAATCCAAGAATACTGAAAATGGATTTCATGTTTTAAATTCTCAAATTTACATATATTTTTTAATGAGTTATTTTTCAATTAAAATTTTTAAAATTTCTTTCATCAATATGGAAAAAACTAGTTTTTACCAACTTGAGTAATTTTAACATCTATCAAAGTTAATTTTTAATCTTACGTGAATGTTAGAATATTTTTGAATTGAGATTTGATAAATTTTTATTCTTTTTAACAGTAATGTGGAAACATAACCAAGAAGAACTTTTTACCCCTAAAAGTTTGGTTAAATAAAAATCACAGAGTTTGATATATGTGAAATCACAACTCACCTACACAAGTCCACGTTTGCTGGCACTTTGAAAACGGGGCATGGGACACAATAGTGACTAGATAAAGCATATATGACATTCAGAATTGGATAAAACTATATCCTCAAACTAGTAGTTTCATACATGTGAGTGAGCAAAACATTAAAAAGGGAATCGTGTTCATTTTACAAACAACTTGCCCAAATCAATGCTACATTAGGATTAAGATATAAAAATGATAAAAGGTTACCAGTTTATTGAATGGTAGGGTCCCTCCCAGTGCTAAATGGCAAACAACTCAAAAGCTAATATATTACAAAAAAAGTGTCAATCACATCCTCAATTTGGACATATCATATCAGATGCCATGCCATCTTGGCATTGCTTTCCAGATAACTAATGTATGTCCCATCCTCTCTCCATTGTCTCTTGGCTGAGAATACATTCAATCATCTCATCACACAAGGAAGATTATGCTTGAGTTTGAATGCCCAAGGAATCTCATAATGTTTGCCCCTTAATCTAGCCACCAATGAAGCCTAACCGGTGAAGAATAACAGCCAAAATGAGCATGAATATTGCAAAGATCATGCCAGGTTTCCCTAGCAACCAGTTCTTTGTCTTTCTTGCAGATTCAACTCCTCTTTGAACCCTGTCTGCCCAAAGCATCTACAAAGACAAAGTGAAAAGGTTCATCTTAGTACTACTAGGGCTACAGCCAACCAACCTATGCTTTTTTACCCTATAATATGCTTTTTCGATTAAAGAAGGAATTATCCTTGCTTATTTACAAGCTGATCTCACTTTCGCTTGCATTTTATCTTACCTTTCCTGGAATTGCCATAACTCTATTTTACCATCCTCATCTTTGTACAAAATTTTATTGATGAATACAAACCAACAGAATATAGTGTAGAGTTTAGGCAAGATACCATTTTATCCAAGCTCTCTGGTGACATGGATGACACGGCTTCCTGAGCTCTTGCTGCCTCTTCTGGTGAAAGCTTAACACCAAATTGTTCACCCATGTTTGCCATCATTTCTGGGCTCATATTTTTAATCATGGATGTGAACATCTGCCAAAACAACCATTAAATTTTTTTAAGAGAATATACATATAAATTCTGAAGAAAAGAATGTTTCTAGATAGAGAATATACATATAAATTCTGAAGAAAAGAATGTTTCTAGATAGGGAATCTATACTATTTGTCAAAAGAAAACACAATGAACATGTGAAAAGTCAATGCCAGACAAGGGAGGTGATAACTAAAAAAACACAGATTCATAAAAGAGAATACTTAATCAGAAAGAAATTACTCATAGTAACATGAGTAGTGAAGAGGGAAACTTGATTGCATTTATATTCCACGGGTATGTGAAAGAAAGCTAGTGATTATTTTATATACTTAACCAGTAATACAAACATACCTTCCGCATAGCTGGATCTTTCATCTGGTTTCTCATCTGTTCTTGTAGATCAGTACTTGAGGAAGAAAAGTTTGACTCAGAAGCACTTCTCATATTTGGAAACACATTATGAGAAGAACTTGATTCCCCAAAATTAATAGTTTCATTAGTACTTGATGATGGGAAGTTCGACTGAGAAACATTTCTTTTGATCTCATCTACTGCTGCCGCCGATGGAATAGATTCTTTCCCTTTCAGTGAGGATGCCATTTCAAACATCTTCTTAAGCTCATCAGCTGGCATTTTACTTATCATATCACTTGCTGCTTTAAACATGTCAGGTGTCACATTGGGAGGCATTGATCCTGGGTTGAAAGAAGAATCAGGGGGACCTCCTCTGAAATATGGATTGTCCCCTTGAAATGAAGAAGCCATGTCAAGCATTTTTTGCAGTTCATCGGGCGACATCTTACTAATCATATCAGAAGTAGTTTTGATCATATCTGGGGATACATCTTTGAATTGTCCAGCATTCAAAGAAGCCAGCGTGGCAGGATTGGTGTTTGAAATGAAGTTCTGGAATGACCTAGAGAAAAGAAGAAAAATAAAATTGTCTCCAATTATTAAATTAAAACTAGATATAACATGCTTATATCCTGTTTGGATAATTTTTTTCAAAAACATTTGTAAGAAAAGGATATAAGAAAAATTAGAGTGAGTTTCTCCAAAACCTAAAATTAATTTATGTGTAAGTTAAAACTCCACTATTGGATATGTTAATATAAGAGAGCTTCTATATAAGTTAGCTTATAGAGGAGTTTATTACATTTTTTCTTTCTAATTTTTTTCTCCTGTAAATGCTTCCAGATAAGTTTATCTAAACATACTGTTTACACCTTTTATAAAAATGCTAACTACCTGACAGCTTCAGGATCTTTTCTCAATGCTTCGAAACTGTCTACATTTGATTTTGGATTTCCATTGTTAGCAGTACTGCTACTCTTAGAGGAGTCACCAGATTTTTTCGGTTGAACTATTGTTTGTTTCGAAGAAGAGCTTCCAGATGGCACATGCTCAACTTCTTCAGTTATTTCTTCAATTACTAGTCCTACATGCATGAAGAAAAAAGAGTTAACTTAAATCTGAATTTATTAGAACCATAAAGCTCATGGGGTTCGGGCAAAGTGAAAGGTTAAACAGAAAAATAAATTGGGGTTACCCGTTCTTCTAGATGCTTGCTCACCACCTTCCATTGTCAATTTTTCCTTGGTATCCCTGAAATAAGCACTTCATATCAGCTTATTTCTAACATATTAATTCTTTTATTATAGATTGCACAAGACTCAATAGTAAACATATCACAGATATACTTAATTATTTCAGCATACAAATCAATATTTACGTTGACTTATAGTAAAATTTGAAGAAACATTACTCATAAATCATAATTAGAGACTCATGAATTACATCAGCAGATGTGTCATACGTATATTTAAAAAGTAGATCAATAAATACTTCTGTTTGTAAGATAGGTGCAAGTATGTGGAAGGGAGCAACATCATACCTTAAAATCTCTGCAATTATATCATCATTAGGGGACACTTCAAGTGCCTCGGTCAGATCAGAAACAGCATCCTAAAAGAAATAACAATGCCATTAATATAAATGAAATACAATGTCCATCTTAATGTAAGAATGTTTATTGAGTCACAAGGAAGCTCACATTTAATAGACCTAGTTCCTTATATGCTTGACCTCTTCGATACAGAGCCTTAAGGTTCTTCGCCTCATATGCCAGAACCTAACATAGTTAAAGCCAGTTCAATCACATCAATGCACTGCTAGAATGAACCAGCCAATTTCCAAATAGCCAATTAAAATCAAGACTTCATTTACATTGTTACAAAAGCAAAACAGTAGGGAGAAATTTTTTCTTACATAATGCAAATAAAATGTAATCTTTCTTTCCTATCTTCTAAGCAGGAGAATTTCCTCATAATACCCACTACTTCAATATTAAATTTGGCTATTACAGTTTACAATTAACATCATATTCAAATGGAAAAAGAAAAGGAATTACAAATACCTCAGAACCTTCTTTTATGCATTCATTATACTGCCCTGTCTTCAAGTAACAGGACATCAAGTTGAGAGAACATGCCAAAAGAAGCTTTCTACTTTGGAAAGATGGAATCTCTTTAATGTTTTCTTTAGCCTATAATATTAAAGAATAAATTAATGTAATAGAAAAGAAAGGATAATTTCATAACAAGTCTCAATTCAAAAACAGGGATAGATAGGATAAATATGTGTGAGGACTGTAAAGTGGCCACAGAAGGTTTACATACAAGCATATACTTCTTCAAAGCTTCACCGAACTTTCCTTGACTATGAAGTTCATTGCCCTGCAAGATTTAATTTTAGTTCACCATCAAGGCACATGATAGATATTTCCAGAAACTGAAAATTTGTAACAAGTCATAAGGTAGTAAATGGTGCAACAATTTGTGTCTTTTAACTATATTTCAACGACAGGATCTATATTTTCTGATTAGACCATTCCATTGAACTAAAGAATTATCCAAAAGTAATTTCATTTATGTATCTTTCTCAATGGCTTAATAGTTCTGAAAAAGCATTTTCCTCATTGCATCGTAATAAGGTTTTTAAGTGGATAATTTAGGCTTTAAGAAGTAACGCATTGCCACACTGTCATAGTATGCTTCCAACAACACCAATTAGAATGTGCCTGTTGTTAACTACTCTTTCATACCTCAACCAATCTTCCTTTTTGCCTACAACAGTTCACCTCATTGTGTCAATGCGCATAACTAATCAAAATATCAATAGATAAAAGAAAAAAACCTCCAGTGGTTTATGATTCATGTTTTACAGAGACACTACCACTTAAAGTTCTCGCTATACAACTTACCTGCTTCTTCAACATCTCAGCTGCACTCAACTGATATTTGATCTGGGCATCAACCCGGGATCGCATAGCTGCCACTTCATCAGGGGAGGCATTAGCCATCTTCTCCCCAATCTCAGCCATTTCTTCCGGACGGGTATGCTTTAACTGCTCAGCAGCAAGTTTAAAGTCTTCAGAACTCATGTTCTTCATGCTCTCCGAGGCCATCCTCATCAGCTCTGGATTAGACATCATCTGCAATTCCAAGTAACATTGCAAAACATTATCAATTAATCATGATCCTATATACCAAACCTCAGCATCAAAACCCCAAACATGTTCTCTCACATAAAAAAACAAAACACTTATTCTAATTACTAACACTCCATACCCTAATATTCAAATTTAAATTCCTTAAGACACAGACATTCAAAAAATGGTTTAACATAGCCAAACTACAATTATAAAAGGCTTTAGATTCAGAGTTTCATCAACCAAAATCGCATATTTTTGCACATTTTTTACCCTCCAAAAAAGGCATCATAGAGGGTTGAATTCATAACGAATTACAGTTAAATCTGACCAAGATTTAAAAAAAAAAAAAAAACCCTGACAACACTTGTGGCTGCATCAGTCGCAATTTTTTGCATAATCAACCATGGTGACAAAATTGCAAATGCCACGGCAATTTAAAACCTTGATTCTGACATTGCACCTCAGAGCATCATAGATAATGCGACAAACCCACGAACACAGTAGCAGGGAAAAGCAGAGAAGGATTGAAGACAGACCTGTTGTTGGATCCGAGCCAACTCAGCAGGGGACATGCGACTCATCTGCTCCTGAGCGATTCTGATCAAATCGGGATCCATCATACCGTTGAACATTCTCGATACCCAATTCCAATCTAAGCAATCCCAGCACGTCAAAACGAATCTTGAGACGATTCTTGATGAGGGGAGGGAAACGAGGTGTGTGGCTTTTGCTCTTTGGAATGGGGCAAACCTTGCAAAGAATAAGGAACGTTTCCTAGTTATGTGTATTTTGGGAAACTTGAGAAGAAGGTGTTGTGTTGGGTAAAATTGGGAACAGGGAATTGGGAAATAAAAAAGGGTCCGATTTGGGGGTGCCGCCTACCAAACCTGAAAAGAGGAAAAACCAAATAAAACAGGAATGATGAAGGAAAGAGAGAACGAACCCAAACAAACAAGTCTCGAATATGCGTAGAGAGGGTCGATTGAAAATACTCTCTTGTCCTTTACACTTTTTTGTGATCTTAAATTTCTTCTTCAACTCACTGTTACGATGTTGCTTTATATATATATAAACACAAATGCAGTTTTGTTCCTGTGTTGTAATTGGAGCATGATGGTTATTTAACACCAGATATAACTAATTTATCCTGTTACTTGTATTATTTGTTGATCCATTGTAACTTTTGTTTCCTACAAAAAATTAGTTTAACTATTCACATGATATACCTAGTTATTACTTTATATTTTCAGTTTTTAAAAATACTTTTTAATCGTTATAAAAAAATCTCTAAATATATCTATTTTAATATAAAATTGTATGATTTTAATTTTTAGTCTTTATATTAAAAATAGTAAATACAATAATTGAAATAGGATAATTTTAAGTAATTAGATAAAGAAAATTATTTGTCACACATCATTACCATCTAGTGGGAAATCGGTAAAGGGATCGAGAAACAAATGGGAGCAAATCGAGAACCCTTTTTGATTGAGTTAAAGACTGATAAATCGAAAGATAGCTGAAAAATGTGTTCGACGACCACGAGACAATATAAGCGAGAATTTGAATCGAGAATCGAAGGATGAATGTTTAATACCCGTTAGTGAATGAAATCGAGAAATCAGAATTATGTAATGTTAAGATTAAGAGAAATCAAAGGCAAGTCAAATGTTCTCGAAATTCTGAAATTAACATCGGAGAAAGGTTAACCCATGTATCGAAATCCCAGCTAAGTTATAAAGAAATAAACAATTAACGTGTACAATCAAACATGACAAGCAATGGCAAAGGTCCAAGGTCAAAGAAGCAGTTACCTCATGTATGGGAACGTAAAAGCAGTTTTTAAACCATGGCGGAGGTCGAAGATCATGGAAACATGGGTGCAGTTTTGACATCGAAGAAAAAACTGCAACAGGCACGTAGGACGTGGTAGCAGTTTTCATTAACTGCTCCTAAGAGGTTACTTGCTTAAAGGATGCTCTATAAATAGGGCGAAGAATGAAAGGAAAAGGAGGGCAGAAAATTGGCAGAGAACAGAATTAGTAGTGAGAAGTCTACCGGAAAATGACGAACACCATAAAACTTCTGGCAATCTGGATTTCCATGCTCATCGAGTACCTTTACCGCTTTCTTTACTTCCCTTGGTAATTTATTTTGATGCACCTTATATTCAGCAATTTTATGTTTTTGTTCTTTCGATTCCTTGTCATTTCAATTCAATGAAAGTTAAGTTTCCGCGTTTAAGTTTCCTTGTCTTTTAACCTTGATGCAATTTCGATTTCCGGTATATTTTCTGCAATCTTGACTCCTTGTCATTTACATTTCCGTTCTTTCGATTCCTTGTCATTTACATTTAACGTACTTTTAAGGTTTCCGCATTTTACGAGTTTCAGCAATTTAGTATCCTGTATTGTTTTTCGATTCAACATTTTATTGCTTTCTGCATCTTAAATACAAAATACCAAAAAAGTAGCATTTTCGATACTTGGTAAGGTTCGATCCTCATACGTATTTCGATTGAAAATTAATTTGCTAGCCTAAGTAAAAAGAACTTACGTGGTAGAATTTTGGTTAGTATCAAAACATCTCGGGGGTCGAAATCAATCGAAATTCCACCAGAAACAAATTGGCGCACCAGGTAGGGAAAGCCTTGTGTTGAAAATACACAAAATTGGTTAGTTCGAAAGTGTATGAGATTAAGGAGTGGGAGAGTTATAAGCATGAGTCAAAATTCATTAAATAACCAGAGTAACAATGAGGGTCTGAATGGTGTACATTCACCAAATACTGGGGGGCAAAGTCATAATGGGAATATGTCTGTAACATCGACAACTACGAGTATGTCGATACCTGTGGGTAACGAACAAAATTCAGGTACCTTAACAAACACCCAAGTAGGATCTAATACGGTGGTACCAAATAATATGCAAACTATAGGAAACCCCACAACAACATATGTAGGGCCATATATGAGTGTAAGACCGCCTGAGTTTTCGCTTAATAATACGAGCGGGGCTGGAACTTCTTCAACACAGCGAAATTCGAGATATAACTTAGGAATGCCTCAAACACTGGGCATGCCCCAAAATTTTGGAGTCACTCCGAATTTAGGAACATCCCAAAACTTAGCAATCCCTCAGAATTCAGGCACACAACAAACGCTTCCAAATCTAGATCATAGAGGAAATTTGGAATATGGAAGATATATATTCGATAGAGATTATCATCGATCCAATTTTGAGACTATCGAAAACACTGGTACTGGGATATCCAGTAACTCATTAGGGATACTTAGACAACAAATGGATGAGAGCAATTTTGAAATGGTGAATATGTTGTCACAACAGTTGACTACAGTCCTAAACCCATTAGTTCAAAACACTACTGCTAGTTTTGAAATATTAACAGACCAAATGTCACGAATCGGGGATGCATTGGTTGTACCTCGACGAACAAGGGTAGAAAATCATGCTAACCAGAATGCTAATATCAATCCCCCGTATCTATTAAGGAGAAATCGAAACAATGATCAACATCAGCATACGGGGAATGAATACCAACAGATGAGAAATGATATTTGTGGGAATCTGAATGAAGGATTTCAAAATATGTACAATCAGAATAACATGCAGTATAATCACATGTTAGGACAGAGGATGAATTTCCAAGGGATGAAGTTTAGACCACCCAATCAAACATACTTTGTGTCTCCCTTTCCAAATGCGATTCTTGAGACGGAATTACCTCGAGGATACAAAGTACCTAAATTCACCAAATTTGCTGGAGAAGTTGGTGAATCAACTATCGAACATGTAGCTCGATATCAGATCGAATGTGGAGACCTAGCGATGAGCGAGGAATTAAAAATGAAATATTTCCCTAGTTCTTTGACTAAGAATGTGTTTACTTGGTTTACTTCGTTACCACCCAATTCGATATATAATTGGCTGCAACTGGAAAGAAATTTTCATGAACAATTCTTTAGAGGAGAAACTCAAGTGAGTCTCATCGATTTGATGAATATAAAAAGATACAATCACGAAAGCATAAATGACTATTTGAATCGATTTAGACTAATGAAGTCGAGATGTTTCACTCAAAATCGTGAATATGAATTAGTTAGAATGGCCTCTGCAGGCTTAGAATTCTCGATTAGGAAAAAGTTAGTCAATTTACCATTGAATGACATGGCTCAATTAGCTGATAAAGTAAGAAGAGTGGAACAAATTAAGTACGAAAAACAAAGGTATAAGAAATATGAGAAACCCTTGAAAAAAGAAAGAGTAACATATATAAATGATTTGTATGAGACAGATACCATGACAGAAAATGATATTGAAGAAACTGTCGATGAGAAAGTAAACATAGCAGAACTCAAAGTAGGAGCTCCATATATCTGTAAACTGCTACAAAAGAATGAAGTGAAAGATAAGATGGCAAATCGAACATATAATTTCGATGTGACAAAAGCCGATAAAATCTTCGATATTTTATTAAAAGACAAACAAATTAAGTTGAGTGAAGATCATAAACCGCCTTCGACGTAACAAAGGAATGGTCGAAAATATTGTAAATTTCATAATGTTTTTGGACATTGGACTAACAATTGTATACATTTCGTGAATACGATCCAAGATGCGATTGACCAAGGGAGACTCGAAATTTGAAGAGATGTCAATGAAAGTGGACACGAGTCCATTCGAAGTACAAGTGGGGTATATTGAATCCCAAACGGGCATGACTCAGGATGTCCGAGTGACGAATTCTGCTTTTATAGGCATGGTCGATGTTACTGAAGACATTGATCCTAAACATGTCAGAATGGATGTGTCTGAAGAAGATATGAAATTCGATCTGAGTGAATTTGAAAAGGAATTCGAGAGGGAAATTTATCCTCGGTCAGGAGATTATCTCCTCGAGTTTTTGAACAGAAAGAAAGGAAAAGATGAAGATGTGTCGTTATGTCCGCGATGCAATGCAGTCTTCGACAAGTCAGCCGCTAAGGCTTTCAGAGTAGAACAGATAAAGAAAATCGAGAGTCAGAACGAAAGGAAGAATGACAAAGTGGATCAAGCAAGCCAACCGACGATCGGAGAAAGCCAACAGAAATCCGATGGTTCTGGTGTCAGTGGGAATCAAAGACAGTGGGTAAAAAGAGCGATGTACCCTTCTCGAAGAGGAGGAAGTAAACTTCAGAGTAATGATGTCTTCGAGAGGCTTTCATATGAAGAGGGATCGAATGCTGGATTCCCGACATTCCAAAGGCGATTCCGTGGAAGGCCCTGGAGAAGAGGAGGAAGGATCCCTTATTGGAATAATTACAGAAACTTTGAAGAGAATAATGTACCAATGGGGGGCCAATATGCAAGAGATTATTTCGACGATAAGAATGAGGGTAGCTGGGATGAGCATCAAATCGGAGTGATATCGATACTACCGGCGGAATATGTTAGTGAATATCAAGAGTACCAAGAACAGAGTGATGCCGATCGAGAAGACGACTTCTATTCAGAAAACATAAGGGCAAAGGTAACATGGGTTACACAAACATCATGTGAAGTACCTCATAGAGATGCTGCTTTTATTGATCCTCCATCTGAGGAAATGAGGTTCCACCTGA